TAGACCCCCGCTTCCTTTGGGTGCCGTGGGTCTCCATGCCCTCCACCACCATCCCCAGGCCTTTTTCAAAGAACAGTCTCATTAACCCTGGTGTATGAATGACTGACAAGAAAAAATTATATAATTTTTATTCACATGTTCTAAAGGCTACAAAATACTCAATTGAAAACAAGAATGCCAGGTATCAACAGCAGATTGAGATCTTGGAAAAGCTAACATTTTCCCAGATGTGCTGAAATTGTCATCATAACAGTTTTGAATACTTATAATCAATCATCGTTCTATTTCAACCCTTCCTCCAGTGCAACATAGTTAAAAGTCAGGGGAACACAATGGTTGCCTTAAAGTATAGAGCTGCCATATTCACCATGAAAGGCACTGAAGAGTTTTTAAGATAAAAAACCTAGGACTTACTGGGGTTTATCTGTACACAAGTTGTAATTGATCTAGTTTAAAATTAGTCACATCACAACTCATTTTGGGGAAAGAACCACCTGTAGCTAATGCACAGATATAGAGTTGACAGTTCAGAAACCGTCCAGATCTAGCCTTCAGTTTCTTTTTTTCACCGTTGTGAAAATCAGATATTTTCTGTGAAATATAAGAAAAAAGGGCTTTCCTATCCCAATAACTACAAACTAAGTATATGTTATAATTGAACATATACTTAGAATCAGAACTGAACATATACTTAGAATTCAAGTTGCCTTAGAATCAGCAATCTTGGAATCCCATTGCGAAATCTTTAATCAGTGACCTTGTGGCTGCAGGGTTACCTTTTCTCACTTCCTGTACTCATGCAATAAACAAACCACTTTAAATCTTACTAAATTCACACAATAATCATTTGAAACAGACATTACCCTCATTTTATTTATTTTAAATTATTATTTTAATTTTTTATTTTTAATTGTTGTAGGTACATAGTAGGTGTACGTATTTATGGCGTACATGAGATGTTTTGATACAGGCATACAATGTGAAATAAGCACGTCATGAAGAATGGCGTATCCATCCCCTCAAGCATTTATCCTTTGAGTTACAAATAATCCAATTACGTTCTTTAAGTTATTTTAAAATATACAATTAAGTTATTACTGACTTTTTGTGTGAAAATATATTTTCATACCCTTAACTTTTTTCCTATCTCTGTCTCTCTCCTTCTTACTGGTACTTTTCCGTCACATTGTAGCTTATTGTGTTATACTTGTTAAATTTGTATTTTGCAAAAAAATCTTTAAATAACCTCTAAATTAGACAAAATTATTCTTTTTTCTTGATAAAGAATAGGTTTTTATGCCTTATAATTTTTTATTAAAACACATCTTCCTTTTTTGAGAGATTTTATATTATAGTTCTAGAGATACTAATTAGTATTTTTAATTTAATAACCTTAAATTTTAGTGAAAACCTAGGAAGCCAGAAATCTTGAATTATCTGTCATATCCCGTATTTTATATATGAAAATTTGTATAATTTTAAAAACATGTTTTTCTATAACATAATTTTATGTATATTCATAGAACCAAATCTATTTAGTCTTTCTATATTATTTTAGAATCCAAGAAAAGAAACTTATATTTATGGTCAGAATTTTGTTTTATCTTTTGATCTTATTTGGAAATGACTCAGACATTTAATGAATATCTATCATTTAAATCAATATAACATAACTTTAAGATTTCAAATTACATGAAAACTATATTTACAGACATTTACCTCATTTGTATTATCTAATTTATTCAATTTTTTATAGTTTACATAGATTAGTTATGAAAATTGAGATATGAAATAAAGCTAGTCATCATTTCTAGTTATTTTCCTATTTTTATAACTTATGAGTATCAGGTGTGCACCTAAGTAGAAATCTTAAAGTTAATTGTATGAATATTTTAATTATAACTTAGAAGAGATAGCTATTTTTACTAAACAAACATTATTAAACTAGCCTTAATTATCAAAGAGTTGACAAAGATTATTCTATTTTAGGCTGGGTTTTCAGTTTTATAACCTTTGGGTCAAACCCCAACACCCTAAAACATCTAGCAAAGACAAATACAAAACTCTACCAGTACAAGTGGGCAAAAAGATATGTTGACAATTTGCTGATAATTTTAAAACCAGCTTTTTTATTAAAGATATACTTAAGTCACATGAACGAAAAAGCATTCGGGTTATTATACATTTTATATGAGTGTTCATTTGTCTAAGTTATGTAAATAGAATTCCTCAGGAAATTTTTTGCCATAGGGCACAGTGGCTCACGCCTGTTATCCCAGAACTTTGGGAGGCCGAGGAGGGCAGATCACGGGGTCAGGAGTTCGAGACCAGCCTGACCAATTGGCATGGTGAAACCCCATCTCTACTAAAAATACAAAACTTAGCCAGGAGTGGTGGCGGCACATGCTGTAATCCCAGGAGGGTTACTCAGGAGGCTGAGGCAGAAGAATCGCTTGAACCCGGGAGGCAGAGGTTGCAGTGAGCCGAGATAGGGCCACTGCAGTCCAGTCTGGGTGACAGAGTAAGACTGCATCTCAAAAAAATACAAAAATACAAAATTGTTTGCCAACTATGCCAGATTTTACCATGTAGAAACAACATGCAACATAATACATGTTCATACACATATACACACCTAAACACATATATGCAGACACAAAAATGTGATAACCATCAATAGGTAATCTAATGAAGGCTGCAGATCAAAATTTTGGGTGAAGCAATTTATATAGTAGCTTGGATTTTATTGTTGTTTGTTTGTTTTTCTTAGCCTCTTTAACATTTCTATTTTGTTTATTCTGTCTCAAGTGAGTTTAGATTTAAATTTTGAATGGTTTACATTTTAGCTAGGACTGGTTGAATTGTATTAGAAAAACAAAATCTCCAAACAGTGGTGAACTAGTAACAAATCTAACTTTTTTTTTTTTTTTGGCAGGTCTGTTTTGTTTGATTAACAAATGCAGGCAAGAAAGAATTTTAGCAGGATGCGTTGTGTTTTTGGCAGGGACTTGGGGGTTGGTCTTTGTGTGGCAGAAAAAGCAAATTTTTTCATGCCAGACAGAGATGACTTACATTGTTTTGAGTTCAAGATTTTGACCTGTTAGACCTGAGATCCTAATATTTATATATATTTACCTAGTTCTTTTTATAGATTATTAATTTTTCAATAAGTTATTTCATCACCATAAACAAATTTTAGTCAGGTAAACCTAAATTTACATTTTCTAATGGTGTCTAGGTTGTTGGTTACCATGGAGCTCTTGTAATTTGTGAAACCATTAATTTAAAAGCACTTTAATACTTTTTAAAAAATCTTGACTAGAATGCCGTAAGCAGCGAGTTTTATGTCATCCCCAGTAGAAAAGTCAGCAGATTCAAAGTAGGCAGTAAGAAAAAACAAGAAAGAGAGAGAACTTAGAAGTCTCTACCTGTTAGCATGATAGTTGCAGGTCTTTAAAAAGAGTTTAAATAATGAACATTTGAGCTCTGAATTTTTCTTGATGTAACATTGCTTGTCAATTTTAAAATATGCATAAGCATGGACCATAAAATGTGGCTAGCTGGAATCCCAAAAACTTGTCATGCCTTTATGTTTTAAAAAACCCATTCTGTTTCTTAGTCATCTCTTGAGAGCAAAGAAAATACTATCATTCTTATCAGGAAATGTCA